GAACAAAACCTACTCCGCTGACTCGCCTGCTTGAGTCGTTGGACTCCTCTACTGTACGTGAGGACTTGGCTGCTCCAGCAGCGGAGCAGAACCTAGCTGAGGCAACTGCAGCACCACCCCTGAGAGATATTATTCGGGAGGAGGTTCGCGCTGCCCTGGGAACTCGGGCTGCAGCTCCAACCGTGCTGACAACCCACACGGCGGCGCCTCCGCTCCAAGCCCTGGCAACGTTCGTGCCGAAGCTCTCCCACGCACAGCAGGGCGCTCTGCTTGCTCCGCATTTGGCTATCGCCATGGGCACCTCAACGCCAATGCATCCCCGCAGGTAAAAACCTTTTATGTTACGGTGCCGAGACCCGTTCATGATAAGGTAGTGACTGGCCAGTTGTTTGAATTTGGTTCCTTGTTGCCAAGTCAGTCCCAAGGGGACACCAGCCGCAGCGTTTTACAACTTGACCACGACAGCTCCTGGCACCTGTACACGGCGCAGTGGTTCTGGCACTTGTAAGCAGGCACTCCAGGAGAGTCGAGGACATTGACACCTTGACGCTTGGACCACGTATTGCTCGATTTACGCAGCAGTACACGCCTCCAGGGCCCGGGAGCTGTTTTCGGCCCAGCACCTAATCTTGAATGTGGCTCGGAAATTTAGGTTCCAGGCTGGGTACGAGTAGATCTACGCTCGATGATTTCGCTCACTCCTGGCCGCGGACCCCACCATGAGGTAGGACGCTATAGTCCAAGATCTCTACACGACGATCTCTGACGCGCAGGCATTTCGTTCCTTTTCGCCCAACAGCTACGATTCCATCAACACGGAAATATGCCGCCTGTTCAATCAAGGGAAAGGCTCCCGCTCCAACTGCCGCTTCGCCCACAGATGCCTCTCTTGCAGCCGCCCCGGTCATGGCCAGTCCACATGCTACGCTGACCAATCCTGCAGCTCCAATTAGCTTGCACTGCCTTGGTCCCCTGTAAATATCCCCCTGCTGTTTGAAGGTCTATCCCAGCACCCCGATAATGATTATTTTGTGCATTCTCTACGCCACGACATGCGGTGTGGCGCTCGCATCGGCTACTGTGGTGATATATCCCACCGTACCGCCCCTAATCCCCCCTTCTGCATTGCACAACCTCGCGGCTGTCTCTGCTTCCCTTCGTTCTGAATGCTCACGCGGCCGCGTGGCCGATGTGGTCAGACCTTATCCCCAGCCCCGTTTCGTAATATCTGATGCCCTGGCATTGGCATTGTGCCCAAGACGTCTAGTGGTGTGCGCCTCATCATGTGCTTATCTGCTCCTAGTGGCGCTAGCATTAATGACGGCATTTCTTCTGACGAGCTCTCCCTACATATTGTCACTGTAGATGGCACAATACACTGCATTTTCCAACACAGTCCCTGAGCTCTCCTCTCTAAAGCTGACATGAAGTATGCCTTGGCGGCTTTACCCTGTTTCCCGTCATCACTGGCCCCGGCTTGGCATTTTTAGGAAGGTTCGTACCATGTTGATTAGGTACTACCATTTGGCCTCAGATCCTCCCCTTCTGTTCAACAGACTGACTGGCTGATGCGGACCCTCAGCCCAACTGCGACTCTGCAATTATCTGGCTGATTCTCTTTCTCGTCTTCGAGTCCAACGCTTCCGGACTCACAGCCAAACTACCGACGCAGCGCTGACACACCCAGCATAGTCCCCCCCCCCCCCTTCAGCAGTTGACGACGCAACCATGGACCTCATCCGCCAGGGCCTGGCGGACAGCTCCAGCACGATATGCGCTTCGCTGCAGCACTCGAACACTTGTCGCCCTGCACCAGGGCAAGCCATACCCAGTGACTGATCAGTGCCAGCAGCATTGTTCCAGATCCTGTACTTTGAGCGCATTGCCCGCTATGCTAATGGGCGGCCGCATTGGACGGCACTCCCATCAATTGTAGTGCAATAGCAATGCCGATAAATCATGTTTGGGTCTGGTTGTATTTTTGGGAGAATAGTAGGGATCGTGGGTCAGGCCGGCATTGAGCCAAGTGCGCCTATATTCGCTCACAAGTGCATTCTTTAAGCCATCCCGAAAGGGAGAACAGTAGGGATCGTGGGTCAGGCTGGCATTGAGCCAAGTGCGCCTACATTCGCTCACAAGTGCATCCTTACGTCATACTCGTGTATTGACACGTCTGAATTGTTGCCCCAGTTAGTGTTGGCATTGGCCATATTAACGCACAGCGGTGCTTGCAATACTAGCTTTGGCATTAGACCAGAATATTGCATATTGTATGCGGCAATTGTTGCCTATCTCCTGGTAATACAACGCATAATAGCTCCCAAACAGGTCGGCTTGTTGTGCGGTTGGTAATACCATGTAACAATCATGAAATGTAAAAATGTATCTAATGTGATTCATAACGGGTTCTTTTCGATGGCCACCTGTGAGCCTACACGGAATGGTGATTTACAGGTGAATAAACAATATGATATGTGCTCAAACAAAGCTACAAAGTCATGATTGGAGGTTACAAAAACCACAGTAGCAGCAAGGGTGCAGGGGTGAAAAAGTGATAACATTGTCGCAATGGCGTGAAAGCAGTGTAAAAGAAAGATGAGAGTGACAAGAATGATCCAAGTGTAAAGTGTGAGAGATGTGACAAATTCCTTCTGAATCCATGTCAGGCTTGAGTAAGTGAACGTATACAGCTTCAAACACCTTTAACTGTGACAAACGGCTAGCACGACACAATACGCTGAAACTGTCATCATGATACACCTGACGACATTGCTCAATCATGCGATAACATTGCACGACACTGACCGACAGTACTGACGTTCTACAACTAACTGGCTAACAGCTCTAGCACATCTTGGATGCGCACTCCAACAGCCTTCCAACTTGGAAGGTTCTAAGTTATCGAAATAACGTAAGGAGGAGTCCTTTTTACTTTTTATGAATAATCCTTGGCTCTCCATCCGAGTTCATTCTTGGTATTATGTTGGCATCATTTGTTCTATTTATTGCCTTGTTAAAACTCCTTTCTCTGACACAATGCTGTATGTCATCAATTATAAAAAGTAAAAAGGACCAAGGAACTACAAGTTACACTATAATGTCCACTAGGGGTGAAACGAAGTAGTCGAAGGTTCGAAGGACCTTCGTTTTTCTTTGAAACGAACCTTCGTTTTTGATTCGAACGAAGGTCGACACGGGTTTAGTACATGCATCAATGCATTGATCTTGTGCGATGTGCTGCATGCACTAGCACTGTACTGAGTCTGCGTACTACAACTACAAGTAGGGGCACGGTCCGCGTGCGCACCGGAACTGAAGAAGCGACAAGTCAGTGAAGAACTGGCCCTGTTCCAGTCACCAGCGTGTTCCCGTTTTGCGTTGGTGTGTAGACCTACCATGGTGTACTCATGGATGACTTTTTGAGTATTCGTCGAGTGTTTGGCGCTCTGCGATACTAGTAGGAGAGTAGTTTTGCTATTTCGATCGTGTTTTCACTCAGTTATGCTGCTTGTACCAGGAATATAGCTTGCTGTAGGTGCCGTCGATATCTGCTAGTGATGGTGTCTGGAGAAAGTTGTAGCAGAGATACGAGTGTAGTCTCATAATTTAAATCGAAAATAAAAGTGTCCATCGCTGAAGCCATTGCAGTATTCACTCTCCCAGCAGCAGCGAGAGGGAGCGCAGCGATGGCCTGAAATCATCGAGGCAGGTGAAGTTCCTCACCCAGTGACTATTCACTCTCCTCTCAATCACCAATGCACCCAGTGGATGCGAGCAGATAAGCGAAAAGTACATGTCCAGATTTGACAATTTTTTGATGAAGTTGGGCATCTGATATTTACATTACTACGCAATATGGCTCTTTTCCGTCCATTTTGGTATTGTTCAAGCACGCAATTGCCTGTATACTAGAGCAGTGATCTCTTGTCGCTTTGTGTCAAAAAGGCCAAGGCTAGCAGGTCTGTACACGATCCCAAGTACACTGATCTAAATTGTCAGAAATATGGACAATTGACTCACAAACGGGTATTAGGTATGGCCTCTATCAAGAGTATGTTAAAACCTTGCCTCTATCTATAGTTGTGTGCTGGGCCAAAGTATTTTCTTACCTGGAATGGATACATTGATACCACCAGATTCAGAAACAAATTGCACATACAATATAAGTATTGGGTTCTGATTTTTTGCCCCCTTTTTATTTTTAAGATTTTTGAGCGTTTCCGTGATCATGCTAAAAAAGAATCCTTCGACACCTTCGTTCGTTTTAATAAAGAAGGTTCGAATGGGAATTTGAGACCTTCGTTTCACCCCTAATGTCCACTAACACCACCAGTTACTAAACTATCAGCTCATGCGATAACATTGCACGACACTGACCGACGGTACTGACGTTCTACAACTAACTGGCTAACAGCTCTAGCACATCTTGGATTCGCACTCCAACAGCCTTCCAACTTGGAAGGTTCTAAGTTATAGAAATAAAATAAGGAGGGGAAGGTGAGCGCAACCAAGATAAGCACGTGCTGAAAGTCTCAGCTGTGAGGAGCTGTTAGCCAGTTAGTTGTAGAACGTCAGTACCGTCGGTCAGTGTCGTGCAATGTTATCGCATAAGCTGATAGTTTAGTAACTGGTGGTGTTAGTGGACATTATAGTGTAACTTGTACTTCCTTGGTCCTTTTTACTTTTTATAAATAATCCTTGGCTCTCCATCCGAGTTCATTTATGTCATTAATGTTTGTTATTTTGTTTGACAGCCTTTTGAAGGCCTATAGTTTGAAATGAAGGGATGCATGTGCAGAGTGTTAGCAAAACTGTATACATGTCCTTTGCACGGGCACTGTCAGTTATGTAGCTGGTGGTTCCTCCAGTGTGGTGCAAGCAATGTTACTCAATATTTGTCTGCATCCTTTATACTCCTTTTTGTTGTTGCTATAATTAAGTTGTTGTCTCCACATTGATTATCCTATGTTTGTTCTTGTTATTTCTTTGATGTTTTCAAGGCTGACCCAGGTCTTGTCCCACGTCTATGCCAGGTATAGTCACTTTGGTATAGTCACTTTGGTATAGTCACTGTGTGTGGTGAAACAGTAACTCCAAGTACTGACAGCAGTTAAAATGGGAAGTTCATTGCTGAACTGTTTATTGCTGGATAGTTTGTTTCAGTGATGCGAGATAAATAGGAGGGAGAAAGCATTATGGCCCGTTGTGTGAGTATGGGGGGGGGGGGGGGGGGGGTGCAATACCAGACAGATTAAAGTAGCGGAGGTCAATTTCTCAGCCTCGTATGGTGTTAACATAGAAAACATGCTGTAATCCCAGCATGAGGTGTGCACTTTGAACTGTTTTTACTTCCTTTGTCATAATTTTATCTCAAGAAACGACTTCAGGTGTGGTGAGTAAGTGGCACCAGTAAGTTGCACGCTAACACTATATTCCTCTGCTTACTGCATGTCCTTAAAGGGGAAGTTAAGGCAAAAATTAAAATTTCACCAGTTGTAGTCTTCGGGGTGCTGAGTCGAATGGTCTTGGTCAGAAAGCTGAGACGCTCCCTTCCTACTTGAATCCCAATCGAACTCGCGCACTTCCACCGAAACTGGGTGACTGCGCCCTACTAGATGGGGATTTGTATGCAAAATGTCACTAAAAGGGCCATTTCGTTCTTATAAAAGCACGGATCACCGCGATTGGCCCATATGTTATAGTCTTTTGGTCGCTGAGTCGACTGGTTTTGGTCCGAAAAGGCTGCGATGCAGCGTTCGCCCCTAATTCCCAATCGAACCTGGTAGAACAAGCGGTCACGTGCTCTTGCGTACACCAGTCACCTGGTCACCGTGCCTGCAGGGTACAACTTACAGCCTGTTTTGACCTTTTTTGGGTGCAGTCCTGTCACTCGAGTTGAACCTTGGTGTGAAAGTTGTCGCCTGCTGGCGTGGTGACCAGGTGATTTTGGCACCCAGGAGCACGTGACCGCTTCTTCAACCATGTTCGATTGGGAATAAAGGAGGAACGCTGCATCGCAGCCTTTTCGGACCAAAACCAGTCGACTCAGCGTCCAAAAGACTACAACATATGGGCCAATCGCGGTCATCCGTGCTTTTATAAGAACGAAATGGCGCTTTTAGTGACATTTTGCATACAAATCCCCATCTCGTAGGGCGCAGTCACCCAGTTTCGGTGGAAGTGCGCGAGTTCGATTGGGATTCAAGTAGGAAGGGAGCGTCTCAGCTTTCTCGGACCAAGACCATTCGACTCAGCACCCCGAAGACTACAACTGGTGAAATTTTAATTTTTGCCTTAACTTCCCCTTTAACAACAAAATCATGTTACCACAGGCGCTGTTTGACCATATCAATGCCAATCAAGATCCCAAGGTGTCCTTCAGGACTGAAGTTAGGTAAGAATACTTTGGTGTATGTAAATCCATAGGTTAAGGAAATGGAAAAACTGTGTATATATCAATGCTATTTCACGTACATGATTGTTGGCACAACAGCAAGCAATGCAATGGAACAAATTAGTTGGTGAGGTGACTTGGTGATCTGTACAATCTAGTGTAACTCATACAATACACAATACAATAGGAGGTGGGACCCAATTTGCGCACAAATTCCCTCGTTTCCGGAGCTTATCGCCCCCATGTTCCTATTGGACTTGAAAAACTAGCCTTTATCACGAAGACCAGCACCTCAGCCAAGACCTACTTTTATGTGGCAATGATACACATTGTGTCATGCTAAAGGTCTGTGGTGTGCTACGGTAAGGGAGCATTATGCCGTGCCAAGCAAATCATATGAATTTCTCCTTCCTCCGGAAACGAAAACTTCGTGACTTTTCACATGACTTTTCGAAGAGTTACTGTGCTCAATAAAAGTGTTCTATTGGAAGAGAAACACTTCAAAACGCTCAATGGACATGTGAACAATATCTACAAGATAGGTTGATGGGAATAGAGTCTCAGTCTGAGCCGCCATCGCTCGATTCATCGGGGCTGGAACCAACCAAAGTGGCAGGTCGATCGACGCGTTCTCGCATGTCATGGAGCAGCTTCTCCTGACCGTCTTCGCTGTTACTATAGTACGTGCCTAACACCAGTGCCTTCCCTATCATCTAGGTGGAGACCGCGGTGGCGCTGGTTCTCTGGAATCGCCTTGGCTCTGGAGAATGCCCCGGAAGGAGCGTACAGGCAATGCCAAACATTGTGCATTTTTCTCCGCATTGTAGTCGCTCATAACGCCATGACTGCTGCGAGGAGATCTCACCTGTCGTCCTATGCAACAAAGGAGACATCGGAGTGGAGGCTGCTGAAAAAAGGCAAGATCTTCCATGTTGAGGTATGGGCTCCGCGGTGGCTGAATGACGACTTCAATTTTGAACTTTTTAGCTCAGTTGCCGTGCTGCGCGAAGTGACGAGTGTCACATCTTTGCGTTTGGAGTTTTGACATCCTGCCGACCTGTGCGCACTTTGGCTGGTGTTTTGGGGGATGACGCAGATTTCGAAACGCTAGCTGCCATCCTTTCATACTCTTCTTGCTCCTCAGTGCCATTGTCCTGCTCTTTTTACTTCTCAATGGCCGATTGAGTCATCTTTCCAAGATTCCCTTTTGCATCTCTCTCCCCTCTCCCGGGAGACTCACGTGACCAGTTTTGACAGTGAGCAAGTACAAGTGTGTGTGTGTGTGTGTGTGTGTGTGTGTGTGTGTGCGTGTGTGTGTGTGGTGTGTGTGTGTGTGTATGTGTGTTTGTGTGTGTGTGTGCACTTTTTGCCGACGATGCTGCAGTCTTCTCCACCACTCAGCAAGACTTCGAGAGAGCAATGGGGTTTAACTGTCAGCGTGGTCAAAATCAAAGACATAGCGGTGAACACTGCGGGGGGGGGGGGGGGGGGGGCGAATGAGCCAATAGACCTGATGCCAGTTGTACAGATCCACGAAATCTCGTAGAATCCCGTAGACCCGGTTGGGAGTTCATTGTGTGCTATGCATGCACATTTGACCAATTTTAGCCTCATAATTAAATGGCAAGCAATCGCTTTTCCAGCTTCTTCACTTTGGTTAGAACTAATGCCTAGCTAGATCTTTGTCAGAAAAAGTTTTTCGTATGAAATGCCTTCAGGGCCCATTTCTTAGTGGAAATAGCAGAAAACACAATAGGGTCCTGCACATTCAACACCCAACTGGGCCTACGGAATTCTACGGGATTTCGTGGATCTGTACAACTGGCATAAGGGTTATGGCACTGGGTGGTGGTGAAGCCATAGATTCTGTGAATCATTCACATATCTTGGCAGTGCCATACACCGCGATGGTTTGTCCTCCCATGATGTCCAGGCCCGCATTGGCAAAGCATACAAAGCATTTGGTAGCTTGAAGCAAGCCGTGTTTGAGAACCGGTCATAGAGTCTGTAGTGTCGCTGTCGCGTGTATGTTGCCGTGGTGCTCTCTACCCTCCTGTATGGCGCGGAGACCTGGACAACGAAGGCTCCGGACCTACGGCATCTCAACCTCTTCCACCATCGATGTGTCAGAACTATCGTTGGAGTGTCACGACGGCAGAAATGGGAGCCACACGTAACGTCCTCAGCCCTTGCAAAGACCCTAGGAGTGCCTGAGGAAATTGGTCTTATCATACGGGAACGGCGTTTGCGTTGGCTTGGACACGTGGCACGGATGGAAGATTACCGGTTGCCAAAGTGTGTTCTCTTCGGTGAACTGCCTGCCCCGCACCCGGTGCATGGTCCACGCAAGAGGTCGAGGGACGTCGTTATGGACTTCACGTCGGTTGAGCCACCGGTACCAGCATTTGGATGGTGCGATGCAGCCCAGAACTGTCCGGAGTGGCGTACCATTGCCTGTCGACCACCCAAGGCACCCTCTGCTGCTGGCTACGGTTGAGCCTGCAGCCGCATGTTCCGTCGAAGCGGCGACCTGAAACGCTATCAGTCATTCTGTCGTGGACTAGAGAAGTAACAATGCGCTATCATTGCTACGCAATGGGCAAGGTCAAGGTCAAGGTCAAGGTGCGCGCGCGCGCGCGTGTGTGTGTGTGTGTGTGTGTGCGTGTGCGTGCGTGCGTGCACGTGTTTGTGTGTGTGTGTGTATGCGTGTGTGTATGTGTGTGTATGTGTGTGTGTATGTGTGTGTGTGCGTGCGCGCGCCCGCATGCACGGGTGAGGATTGTGATCATGTCATGGACTCTGAGAAATGTTGTGTTTCTGTTGCCTCTCAGCTACATGGAGATTTACAATGAGCACGTTGGTGACTTGCTTGCTGTCAGTGGCAAGAAGATTCAGCACAATTTACGAGTGAGAGAAGATCCTCGTCGCGGCCCGTATGTTCAAGGTATATTATGCATAATGGAAGTACAGCATAATATTGTGTTTGTTGTTGCTTTTCTGCATCATTACTTTACAGAGTTGTATTCTGCTGATGGAGCCCATTCATGCATCGGGTTAACTAGTGACATATTGCAGCAGAGAGAACATTGAGTTGAGTATCTATGGGCTTGTTGGGTTTGGGCAATATGGAGAATAGTTTACACGCGTCAGGCAAAGGAGACCTTGCTCGTGATGCAACATGGAGTGTGTGCTTACACAAAAAAACATCATGTCGTTGTGCAAGTCACACATGTTTTGCGCTAAGACTTGCAAATCCGGCTACCGACAAGCATGTACGTGTCAAAATAACTCAATACAAGCAAAGTACACGGGAGTACATTGGCAGTACGAAGCACTGCAAAATACGGAAAATCCGAAGTCGCGTACGGAAAACAGACCCAGCTGGTTGGCAGCTCTGCTAAATTGGGCCAGTGGAAATGTCAGCAACCAGGAATGCATGTACAAAAACTGGTTCTTACTGGCACCACCTGAGGCAGAAAAGGACTACTTACTTCTACCTCTATGCTTGCCAATCTTGACACACAGACAGGGTTCTAATCAGCTGTCTTCTTCAGTCAATCTTGACAGGGTTCTATTCAGCTGTCTTCTTCAGTCGCTGCTGAGCAAACTCTTATGGCTTTCGTCCACCGAGTACAGTGGATGTGGTTTTGGCCGCACAGGTATCTGCTGGTGATGGTATTGCAGTTGGTGGAGCTACTGGTGCTTCAACAGTGAATGTGACTGGGAGTATTCGTACTGGTACGGGTGTCGCTGCTGCTGCAGCAATGGCGGACTGTGACTGGATCGAGGTTGCCCACCAGCCGCCGTTGACAACCCTTAGAAAAGTCTGCTTTTAAAAGCGTATTCTAGCGGCCATTGCATCGGAAACTCGTCACGCATGACTGCCGCTTGAGGTGATATTCGGCTCAAAAGAATCAAATACGGCTTCTTCTGGCAAACCCGTTGCCGGGGACTCATCTATCCAGTCATTCGCACTCTGTACAGCCGTTATATGTGTGGACCATTCTCCCACCGGTGTGTCATTTTGATTCGATTGCATCGCAGCAAAACTGCCACTGCTCTTGCAGCGAGTGGACTCAGCACTGGTAGCACATCCTATAGCTCAAGTTAGAGCATAAAGCAGCACAAATGAGACAATGACCAAGCGAGAACAATAATGAAGTTTAAGACACCAATGCAGCTGTACTTATGGTTGATACATATGGGTAGATTGCCTGATGAGTCCAGCTGGGACAAAACGTACGTCGCAATCGAGCTATGTCATTGCTGTGTCATCTGCTATGTGGCATACACTACCTGATGTACCAGCCGGCTATGTCGGATACCACCAGCCATACATCGACTAGGCACCAGGCACGAACTGATGATGGTGGTGGTGAAAAGAAGAGCTCTGTGCCGAAATAACTTTGCAGCCTAGAGAGCGTGTGTGGGCAGGCGTGTGTTTAATGCCATATTGCCAGGTGTGTCTTTACCACCAAATTTTAACAACCATGAGAACAATAATGCAAGCAAAACATGCCAGAGTGAAGTGTGAAAACATAATGTCACACCCACGCCTTGCTACACATGCACTATTATTATAATATATATATTCCTTTGTTCACATGTCTTTAATTTGATTACCTGGGAATTGCAAAAGACAGCACGAAACTTGGAATTATGACATCACCGTAGTAATATTATGCAACCAGTCTTGGCACCTCAGTTCGTGTTGTTGCCGTTGTTGTCGCCGCCACTACAGCTGCGGTCGTTGTCCTCGGAGTCCTCTTTGTGGCATCCACTGCAATGTTCAATCAGGGTATCTTGCGCAAGGGTTCACATGCGTTTACTGTTTGCTGTGGATATTGCTGTTTCAATGTTGTCATACAGGCTTGAGTTCACATGTTGTATCTGATCAGAATGCAATGCTTGACAGAATGGCAGTGGGAAATGCAGTCAGGTAACAGATACCTTCGCCTTAGATGAAGTTATTATCATCATGCTTGCACTTGCTTTACTGACAGTTTGCATTATTTAGTAGCTTCGGCTATGTCTTGATCTTTAAAGGCAGTGCATTTTAATGCACTGCCTATAAAGAACCGAAACACTTTTAAAAAATTGTTTTTAAAAGTGTTTCGGTTAAAGGGGAAGTTAAGGCAAAAATTAAAATTTCACCAGTCGTAGTCTTCGGGGTGCTGAGTCGAATGGTAGGGGTGAAACGGTTACCCTTTAAGGTAACAAACGGGTATCTGGCTTAACGGGCGGGTTATCGGGTACCCTTTAGCAAGCCATACTTTTTCCAAAAACATTGTGTCGTCAGTTTAATCCGACGAACTGCGGTTCTCCTCGCCACTCCACACAACAACAAAAGACTCGTGCACACTGGGAGAGAGAGCGTTTTCTCTAACTTGCTTTCAGTAAGGGGACTGGAGAACTGCGCTCCAACAAAACGGACAAGAGAATATATTATAGGGACGTGGAGAAAAGAGGGGAGAAAGTGGGGTGAGGGATACTAAAAAGGTGCCTGTGCAAAGTACAACAAGGCCTGAACAGGACGGGAGACAAAGACGAACGACGGGGAAATACGACGGACACAAGACGGCAACCAGACAAATACAATGGAGACAAGACGAGAAAATGTGTATGCAACGGCGACGAGATGATAAATAATGCATACGGAGGGGACAGAAGACGGTGCAGCGGCATGTACAAAGCATTCCAAGACAGCGCAGCGGCGTGTACCACGGGTCAGCAGCATGTACGACACAGAGACACATACGCAGCCACGTGTACGACAAAAGAGACACAAGCGCAGCCACATGTACGACAAGAGACACCCGCGCAGCCGCATGTACGACACAGAGCTACAAGCGCGACCACATGTACAACACTATCCCCAACCGAAAAAAAACATCCACTCCTGTGGATGGAAGTGTATATATAAAAAAACAGGAGAAGACAGACCGGAGAAGAAGACAGAAAGACTGGGGAAATGAAATGTGAAACAACATAAATAGGCGACAATAAAACACAAAAGAAGTGGGGCCACAACTGTTGAATGCATGACGAGTAGGCCAGGAGGGTTAACACCAGTCGGGAGCCCCGCAAAACTGTGCATCAATCAAACGGAACCTGCAAGCAACAGATTTTGCAGAGGACCCCGGCTGGCGAGCTGCTCGACCTGTAGTTGTCCCTTTGGATCTTGATTATTTGAACAGCACCAACCTAGTACGCCACCCACCCAACAGTTAAGACAAACAAAAAGTACATAATGCATGAGGAAACAGGGTTAAGCCGACGGACCCAGCGACGCTGCCAAGAGCGGCGAGACCGACAGCACGCACCGACCGAGAAGAAGAATGGGGCAGCAGGACGCACACTGGCCGGCTGTCCGAAAACCGATGGCGCTACAGAAACTCCGAGAATCACAGGACACACACAGAAAGAGAGAAGGACTGACGCAAACAACTCAGCCATTGCCAAAAACCAGGAAAGCACACGAAGGAATGGAAGAACAGCAAGGAAGAACACGTCTACTGAAACAGGAGCAATTAATCAGTGAGGACACCATTTAGGACACACAAACAAATCGGTTACCAATACGCAAAAGATAATGAAGAAAAACCACAGGGCGCTACCCTGAAAACCCACAGGTCTCTAACCTGAAAAAACCACAGGGATTGAACCTGAAAAAACCACAGGGATTGAACCTGAAAAAACCACAGGGATTGAACCTGAAAAAACCACAGGGATTGAACCTGAAAAACACGGAACTACATCCGCTTCGCAAAACCAAAAAACCGAAGAAAAAAAACTGTCAGGGACCGACTGGGGCGCGCAAGGGCCAACCAGCAACACGCGGAAACCATAACACCCGCAAGGCAAACCGATACAAAAAAGCTCAGGATCCCTGCAGACCACCAGGCAGACCGTGGCTCACCATGATCAGACGCCCACCCAAACGAACTAGAGAGACCCACATGCCGAAACACAATAATAACAAAACCATACGCTCACAAAAAAAATTCAACCTGGATCCGAAACGAGAATCCTACATAAAGTTCACACTTCCCACCAAACCGGAAGCCACCAGCTTTCCGACTGGGTGCACAGTGCATGACCGAGCCTGACAACGCTCTGCACGGAACATGGAGAAACTACTACTAGTACTACCACTTCTAGTACTAGTGAAACGGTAGAAACACGAAACAAAACAATATGGATCGACTACAAACGAGGCAGCACCTCGAGAACGTTCCGGTGGACATCCAAACAAATCACGCGACACAGTCACAATATCGGACAACTTTCACACCAAGGTTCAACTCGAGTTCAACTCGAGTGTCGGGACTGCACCCAAAAAAGGTCAAACGGGCTAGTAAGTTGTACCCTGCAGGCACGGTGACCAGGTGACTGGTGTACGCAGGAGCACGTGACCGCTTGTTCAACCATGTTCGATTGGGAATAAAGGAGGAACGCTGCATCGCAGCCTTTTCGGACCAAAACCAGTCGACTCAGCGTCCAAAAGACTACAACATATGGGCCAATCGCGGTCATCCGTGCTTTTATAAGAACGAAATGGCGCTTTTAGTGACATTTTGCATACAAATCCCCATCTAGTAGGGCGCAGTCACCCAGTTTCGGTGGAAGTGCGCGAGTTCGATTGGGATTCAAGTAGGAAGGGAGCGTCTCAGCTTTCTCGGACGAAGACCATTCGACTCAGCACCCCGAAGACTACAACTGGTGAAATTTTGATTTTAGCCTTAACTTCCCCTTTAATATGGATGCGGAAAACTGTGGCGCAGGTGATCCACCTTTTTGGGTGTGCATCTCCTGGGCCACACACCTGGAAAAGTCAGTCTTATCGACTGATTCAGGGCCATAGCACCCAGTTACCGGTCCAGCCACAAAGATCAGATAACTTTTGAAGTCCAGTGTTCGAATCAACTCCCCACTCCTCCACCCGCTTGATTGATCCATGTTTCATTGTAGAGGAGACGGTTTCAAATAGGAAATAGGTTGCAAACCGGAACGAGCTTCTCTCTTGGTATTGTGATTAGAAACCATGTCACAGTGAGACTACGATGTGTTTTACCTTGAGCCAAAAGTTCATGGTTCTGCGATGATCAGAAGCGCTATACCAAGCAGGTGAGTTTTTGACGTGTTGCTGCGCACTGCGACTTGAGTTGAACGTCTTTCGAAAAATCAACTTCTTGTCACAGGTAAACAGCGGCTCGCCTCTCGCCAATAAAGCACCGTATACCAATGAAAACTAGTGGAAGCACACACAAGGCTTATGTTTCCTCTGTACTGGCCGTCGTGGAGCGATAGCAATTACCTGATTCAGAACTCAGGCTGAACTTGACGTGCACTCAAAACTGTTCCGGTTTGGACCCGCCTCTGTGACACCAAATTTTGAAGCGAAAAATCGGGCAACTTGGAGGCAACGGGCCTACATAAAGGAGTGGCTCAGTTTGATCGACTCTGGCCTCAGAGAAAACTTCAACATGCCAGCTTCCTTCCACAAACATATTTCGAGTGAACAATCCACGCTGATGATCGGTTTGGGTCTACACAATTTTGCTGTCAAACCGTTCCTATTTGAAACCGTCTATTCTACAGTGATGGCAATTGAAATCCGACCCCTGGTTTCCGTGCACGAGTGCAGGACCGACTCTAGCGGTCTCTATTTGCTAGTGTACGAGCACGTGCTGGGTTCTTGCACTGTGAGCGCACCGAGCTGTGGTCGGATTTCAGTTGCCACCACTGTAGTTGATCTTAAAACTTGAATTGCTCATTGTGTTTATCTGCAGGACAACCGCATCCACACTAATGAATGACACAAGCAGTCGCTCACATGCCATATTCACAATCAAGTTCACTAATGTAAGTGTCTTAAACCGTTTACTGTCTTCTTGTTAGTGTTTTTGGGCGATCCTCCACACCCTCACTTCCCCATTGTGCATTTACCTAATTTGTACATTAGAGCCGTATGCATCCCAAACAGGTCGAAAGGTCACAGCGTAGATACACACAGTTCAAAGATTAGGTAGACATAAGGAGTATTATGGTTTACCGGGTGTTAGCGGCCGTTGTGTTTGGGAACGAACACGATAATTTACTTTTTTTTAAGGAGTACAGTCGACCTACCCTTATAACGATATTTGCGTCCGACCAAGAAATATTGTTATAAGGGTAACTGGTTCATTCATACACATACGTCATAATGCATGAACTTAGTTCATTTTTTACACTCTTCATAGAAAAACATATGTACATGCACATTATGTGCACAGCAAGGTGCTCACTGGTGCCCCCATTACATTTCGTCATGCTCCAGCGACTTATCAAGTGAAGCTTGCCCTACCTTGACAGTGGACTCTACATATTCCCTGTTGGATATTGTTATAAATGGAAAATGTCGATTGGTCAGCCCATTTTATATCGTTGTAGGGGTAATATCGTTATAGCAATATTGTTATAGAGGTAAGGCATTGTATACAAAAGTCAATGGAGTGATTTGGTTTGACAGAAAATATCGTTATATTAAAGGGTAATATCGTTATAGGGGTTATCGTTATAAGGGTAGGTCGACTGTATTGGCATCCAGTGCCCATTCATATTTGCGAGCATCTTTTGAACCTTTCAGGTGAACCTTGGCCGTGATGAGTACGAGTACTGTCATGAGACGAATAAAAGTTGTATGCAACGCATGTACTACATGTGCAGGTGTTGTCCATGACCTCTACAAGGTCCCCTTTTGGCCTGTACTAGCTGGGTGTATTTTGTGACCTCTACGAGATCTCCTTTTGGAGCTGTGCCTGTGCGGACCACGTGCGGACTGCGCAGGTTCCGCCACTTGGAAGCATGCTCGTATTGTACATATTTTTGTCCTTGTTCTTGCCTTGTTCTTGACTCTCTTTGGAGTAAGAGCAACAAAACGGTATTCTGAGTGTGGTGTACGTGGGACGTATGTGAGAGTCAACTTGAGGGTAATCGGAAGAGCCCATTGTCGGATCTAAGAAACCCAACGACGCGGGCTGCACTGGCTGCACACTGCATCGTGTAGTCCTTTATGCCAAGTGTCCGATTTCGCTTGCCATTACTGCACATGTATGGTGATTTGTGACTCCTCATGGGGCATTGTGACTTGTAAACTATTTTGTGACGGGTCATGGGGGTTTGTGACTGTTTGACTGGTCACGAGGACCGTGAGTGGTCATGGGGCCTTGACTGGTCACTGAGTACCATAATTATATTTTGAGTTGCAGTGTGGCTGATGACCATGGCTTCCTTGGCTTGTTCATCAAAACTCTTCTAACCATGTACTCTACTGTTTTTTCTTTCCATTTTGATTTCTTGCGGACGTTGGCCCAAGTTTGCTGTGTTTCGAGATGTTTAAAACTTGGCTAAGCAAACAAACAACCAGTCACATATTGGCACTTGACGCCTGGTGTCACCGCTCGACAGTGGGCATGAAAGAAAGCTGAAGCCCAGCGATAATAGCCCAAAGTAGCTTGTTTTGATGTAATCACCCCTTAGTTGGAAGGAAGCTTTGATCTCTTTGCATTTTTTGCGGTAAAAATAATCACGGTTCGGGTGAGACTTGGCTAGAGGCCGAGTTTTCCGCATCTTAGGAATGCCACACACCATCCTTCAAGGATCAAGGCACAGATGCAGCTCATAAAGCGGTGGGATGTCAGTAGGTCAGACTCACCAAAGTGGTCAAAGACCGAAAATACAAATCTCTGCATTTGAGCGGTAATCATTGACATAATTATACCAACGATCCAATATAGACCAGGTATATGTACCTGTAGGGACATTTTGGCACTGGTGTGCTAGCCTCTGGTCATACATGAAAATCACCCCACAGTGAAAAGTATCAACTTTCTCCCATATCTTTATGCTCACTGTACAGGCATGCTTCTCAGCTGATCGTCCTCAGGAGACAACAAGTCGTATCAATCTTGTGGACTTAGCCGGTAGTGAACGTGCTAAAGCTACTGGTGCCACGGGTACACGTCTCAAGGAGGGTAGTCAGATCAACAAGTCTCTTGTAGCACTCGGCAATGTCATTTCTGCCCTTGGTTAGTGACTTCGTTTTGTGCATTCTGCTTACTCTGATTATTGCACAGTGGCACCAAATGCATACAAGTGTAGACCCAGATGGACCTCTCTCTCTCTCTCTGTCTCTCTCTGTCTCTCTCTCTCTCTCTCTCTCTCTCTCTCTCTCTCTCTCTCTCTCTCTCTCTCTCTCTCTCTCTCTCTCTCTCTCTCTCTCTCTCTCTCTCTCTCTCTCTCTCTCTCTCTCTCTCTCTCTCTCTCTCTCTCTCTCTCTCTCTCTCTCTCTCTCTCTCTCTCTCTCTCTCTCTCTCTCTCTCTCTCTCTCTCTCTCTCTCTCTCTCTCTCTCTCTCTCTCTCTCTCTCTCTCTCTCTCTCTCTCTCTCTCTCTCTCTCTCTCTCTCTCTCGTTGTCACCCTCTCCTTATAGATTGTTGCCTCATTAATCTCGAAGTTATGACTCCCAGCTGTGTAAAGATGTGTGTATTTCTAGAAGTACTAGTACACTGCATTGAGCAATGTACAGTACTGGCGCGATTAGAGCCCTCTCTTGAATAGTGCCCTATCTCAAATAGTGCCCGCATATTTGTGAGCCAATGAGAAAATAGAGCCCCCAGGTTTGTAACCAAGTGCATGTGAAAGTTTGGAGGTGTTTTGTTTCTAGTGTTGTCCATGCCATTGTACTGATGGCTTCAGAATCAAAATCTCAATTCCTTTTGCCGTTTTTGAGTCGAGATGGTTTACAGTAAACTGTAGGCTCTGTTTTTCTTGACCTTTGTTTTTATGCTGGATGTAGCCGCATTGAAAAAATATTGTGCTCTCTCTTGAACAGTGCCCTCTATTGAGCAGTGCCCCGTCTGTGATGGACTTTGAAGAATAGTGCCCCCGGGGCACTATTTGCGCAAGTACGGGAAGGCTGCCGGATTGGACTCTTGTGATGCACCTGTAATTATCATACTAGCCATGGCGCAAGCGAGTGTTATTCTAATCAGGATTTATGCTGGGTGTATGCTGGTCCGCTTGTTCATGCCTGTGCTGATGACCTTTGCCTACAATCCCATCAGCTCACAAGTCCCAAACAGAAGCCGCAGGCAAGAGCAAGAAGACCTTTACTCCGTACCGTGACTCAATGCTAACCTGGCTCTTGAAGGACAGCCTGGGAGGGAACTCACGTACCATTATGGTTGCCAGTAAGAATCATGTGTTTTGTTTTTGTCACTAGGAAGGGTGGTTTGCTTTGAAATAATTTGATTACCTTGAGAAACTTGTTGAAGCTGTTGTGTGTGTGTGTGTGTGTGTGTGTGTGTGTGTGTGTGTGTGTGTGTGTGTGTGTCCATGCGTGCTCGCGTGCATGGGTGCCTGCGTGAGTGTGTGCTTGCGTTCCACGAACAATAACTTTGATCAAAACTTCCCGTAGTGTACTTGTAGGTTGAATCTTGTGTGTGTGTGTGTGTGTGTTTGTGTGTGTGTGAGTGTGAGTGTGTATGTGTGTGTGTGTGTGTGTGTGTATGTGTGTGTGTGTGTGTGTGTGTGTTACGGTTCTTCATTTAGGACACCTGTAATGGTGGTGTGTGGATTATTTAATGAAGGCAAAAATTACTAGTATTAGTTCTGATCTCACAATGACTATAATATTATTTGCAGCAAAGCTACTAACCATTCTCTCAGTTGATTGCCGAAAGAAACTGAGGCTTGTACTCACACCGAGATATGGCCTCGCCCAGTTTCGGGAAGTGGCTAGCGACAGCTACCGCTTGAATTCTTCCCTACATTTAATTTCATTGGGCAGATAACTGATAGCAGAAGTTTACCATTTTCATACTGTAGTGGACTGTGTAACGAACAGAAACTGATTTCTCAGATGGATTTCAGGTGACTGGTCTTGGGACACAGTGGAAACTGTGACTGGTTGTTGAGTTTCATGGCTGGTGATTGGAAACTTGAGACTGTTTGACTGGTTTCTGTGATTGCTCATGATATGTTAGCCTTTACACTCTTATCTTGCACAAAGTGATCATGAAGATGAGTGTTGTGTGGCTGACATAGAAAGATTCGATTCCTTTGGACTTGCAGGCCCAATGCTGACAAATTCACGTGACTGTGGGAGTTCTGTGAAGATATGGTTCCCTGCGAATGCTCATCACTGTCAGTGATGGAGACACCAGTGGAGACACCAGTGGACACACCAGTGGACACACCAGTGGACACACCACTGACCAGTTCCTTCAGGCATTTCTGATGTGTTTCACTTGCGGCTTGTCGGCGGCAATCACGGTACTCAATTAGTTTCCTCTGCTTAGTTCCCTCTGGTGAATAGCAGTGGAAATGGACGGGGATGATGAAAAGAGTTGGGTTTCTTTGCTGAGATGAAAGAAAGCACCAACAGGACTGACAGTGTACTTTGTGTCATTTGAAATGTTTTTGGACTTGATAATAGGAAATCTTGCCTACTTGTAATTTAGTGTGGTTTGGTGATGCTTGACACATTGGCAGCTGGAAGAAGACTAATGGGACCGTGATTCACACTACGCCCAAAACGAGGAGTATGTGACGTTTTCGACAACATGGAACGTGGCGGGCAAAAATCGAGTACTTCCTCCGTATACAAAAACTTCGTGACTTTTTTTGAAAGCTGCGCACAGCTCTGAAATTGTTCCGTTCGACTCGGAATAACACTCGTGGCATTGTCTAACCTGTTTACAAGCTATATACAAAGAAAAAAGCAACTCAGACGAATGAGATTGAGTTTTTTCAGAGTCTTCATCGCTCATGTCATTGTCACCTGACGACGCTGACTCCGCATCGCCAACAGTCGCTGCTTCCGCTCGCATTTCGTTCAGATTCTTGTCACCTGCAGTGATGATCCGACGCTGGACTTTGGCTACGTCCTCTTCATCTCTAGAGCTGTGTACGAATCGGTGTCAACTATATTCAGTTGTTTCAACCCGCAACCTCCATTATGCCGTGAAACGAGTCGTACAAGCACATCCACACGCTTCGCATTTTCTCGCCAGGAAAATCCTCCCAAGCATTCTACAATTTTTTTCTACAATGGCTTCGAGGAGGTCCCTGCGATTCCCCTTGGCGACAAAGGAGGCGTCTGACTGGAGAGAGGCGAAGAAAGCCAGGCCATCGACATTCTGATCCTGAGTCTGCGCTGGTTGCACGGCGACTGAAATGTTTCATCTTGCCGTGCGAGCGAAACAAATCGATGTTCTCACGCTGCGTAGATATGGGGCCGCGCACCGCAAGTACGAGCCTGACCAGTTTCAGGCCAGCGAGTGCCGCGTGACTCCGTGTTCCAGCCACGAGGTACACTTCATCACTGTGTCAGTTTCGAGCAAGTGTTAGTTTTTTTTCATTTGACTCTTGAGTTTCTGTCGGCAACGTCCTCACACTCATGGCGTACGTGGAGAATCTGTTCGGGATCAACCAAACTCACCTCGACATGAACGTGGGTTGTCGATGACAGCCTTTGGCGCCGTTCGTTGAGCAGGTTCTTGCTCAAAAACACCGTGCAAAAAAGTCACGAAGTTTTTGTATACGGAGGAAGTACTTGATACGAAAATGTAGACGACGTATCCAGACCTCTGTATCGAGATTCGTTGACGTTCCCCGCAAGTTGTGTCCCAAAAAGCTGTACGCACAGCTGTACAAGCAGCGTGTACGTGCCTGTGTGAATACACTTTCATGAAAAACGACATCTGCCAGTGCGTGGAATACCAAAATCTGATGAGTATTGCAATGTAGTATGAACAGCCTATTAGACAGCTATGCAGATGCTTACTTCTCAGTGCAGAGGTTTTTTTCAGGCAAATTTGTGTACCCGTGCCCTATTCCCTAACTAAATTGACTAAGTAAGTCCAACCTCATCAACAATGGGCACGCAATGCCTGTAGTTTCAGCTTGTCGGCAATGTGCCCAGCTGTTTCTTCAGGCAAGTAGCACTGGATTTTGACTGGGATAGTAAGAGGAGCCGATGATGCTAAGTTGAAACTTGGTTGATTTGTTACCAAAGGGTTCAGAAAGGGTACACCTCCCCCTTGACGCCACATTTTCTTTCGAACATCATGGTTCGCATCACATGGCCAGGCCATCATTGGCTTACAAACCCACTTGATAATTGGAGGGTATACCCCCAGGACGCTTATGCATATCAGTGTCACCTTGCGCCTGTTCTCCATGTGTTAGCAGTTTTGTTGCCTCAAAGCACGGGATCACGCTTCTTCATTATCACAGTTGTCCTCTGAATAGTGCAAGACTATTCATAAGTTCTAGTCATTCGGTATCCTTATGGCATTCTCTGATGAGATCTGTATGGATAAAACAGCTGTATGGAGGAATACTTTTTGCCATTTAATATCTACAATAACTTGGATTCATGTTGCTGGTGTGAATGAGGCCGGCCAGAGAGCACATGTACTGGAGTTAGAACTAAATCTCATACACACTGTAGAGGGGACGGCTCGATACTGGGACGTTTTGACAGCCAAATTTGTATAGACCCAAACCGATCATCAGCATTGATTTTTCACTCGAAATATGTTTGTGGAAGGAAACTGGCATGTTGAAGTTTGCTCTGGGGCCAGAGTCAATCGAACTGAGCCACTCCTTCGTGTTGACCCATTGCCTCCAAGTTGCCCAATTTTTCGCTTCAAAAAAGTTCAAATCAGAGGTGGCTCCAAACCGGACACGTTTTAGAGTGCACGTCAAATTCACTCTGGGTCTGAAATTAGGTAATTGCTATCGCTCCACGACGGCCAGTACAGAGTAACAATAAGCCTTGTGTGTGCTTCCATTAGTTTTGATTGGTATGCTGTGCTTTATTGGCGAGAGGCGAGCCGCTGTTTACCTGCGACAAAAAGTTGATTCTTCGAAAGTCGTAAAACTCAAGTCGCAGTGCGAAGCAACACGTCAAAAACTCACCTGCTTGATATGGCGCTTCTGGTCATCGCAGAGCCATGAAATTTTGGCTCGGAGTATAACACATCGTAGTCTCACTGTGACATATGTTTTCTAATCAAAATACCAAGAAAGAAAGTGAATATTGAGTCCGTTCCGGTTTGCAACCGGTGTCCTATTTGAAACCGTCCCCTCTACACATATACGGTGTCCTAACTAAGCAATTTCCAGGATTGATCACTATGAAACGTTATTTTGTCTTCCTTCAGTCATGTTGGTGTATGCAGCACCACCGTCGTATCGTTGCATCGTCTCAATCGATCAACACCTGGGCCAAACCATGTGCATGAGCTCTGTTGTAACCTATTTTGTGAAGACATGCATTTTGTTGATTTTTAGTTACAGGTTGAATAGATGAATTTCATGGTATGCATTTTCCTCTGTACATTTGAATGACTGCAGCTGTATCACCAGCAGAATGCAATTACAGTGAGACTTTGAGTACGTTACGCTATGCAAGCCGCGCCAAGGACATTGTCAACAAGGCAGTAGTTAACGAAGTTAGTAACCTGACCCAGCCCTACATATTAGAATTACTTTCTGAAACAACATATAGCACTCATGAGTATCTACTATCTATAGAAGTTATGCGATTACTTCATATACTGCCATAAAGGAAGGCTGTTGAGTGGCTAACTGGGAGACATGTTCAGTACTCTAAAAGCCCGAATATGGAAGCCAGCTGAGTGGCAAAAGTGATATTTTATTGTTTTCACTCACAAAGCGACTGTTCAGTACATGGGGTAGTGGTCTACCAGAGCAATCACACTCACCACCGTGGTGGTTTTCCAGAAATGAGTAGAAGCAAAAAACCACACTCGCAGCCACATGATAGATAAATAGCCGAAAAACATCTAAATCCATCAAAGAACCGCCAGCAAGCGGGAGAAAAGGCCGTGAAATCAAGTGAAACAGCATGGCCAGTGGTGAGCATGGGTGACTGGGCAGCAGGGGAGCGCCTGAAAAACAATGACTCCCTACATTCCTAGCCGCGACCGCTCAACCGGGCTAGAGGAAAAACACGCCTTTCGGCCAAAAAACCCTTCTATTTCATTAATTCCTGCCCCGCTGCCAGTCAGACCCAAGAATAGAGATAGCAAGAAATGGTATCATTGGTATGTAATAACCGGTGTATGTCATAATCATAAGCCACACACATAGGCCTAGATTGTCAAGAAGAACAGCGGACGACTCCCATGAAACCAGGGTGGGTGGGCGGACAACTTCAACTACCACGAGGAAAAACAAAGACCACGATGGCAGGTTCAACGGAGTTGCGCAGAACAAGAGCAAATGCACGAAAAATATTTGTGAGTGAAAAATACGTTTTTTGCACTCTTTCGCTACGCTCAGCCATGAAAAAACAAAACACTTCTGCAAGGCGAATGTACTATGGTAATGTTTGGTAAGTCATTCGCATAGCCTCTATAGCTTGTCCATCCCATTTAGCCTTCTTTTGTGTTAAAAAATGTGTTGTTTTTTCACGGCTGAGCGTAGCGAAAGAGTGTAAAAAACGTATTTTTCACTCACCATTTTTCTGTCGTGCTCTGCTGCTCTTCCACTGCGCAACTCTCCCCCACCTGCCATCGTGGTCTTGTATTCCTCGTAGAGCGTGGAGTTTTTCCCGCCCTCCCTCCCTTGGGTCCCGTACGTTGTTGGGCTTCCATTGGGTGCTGTTTTACTGGTTTTCCATGGCATACTTTGTTTTGTGTGTTTCTGTCCCGAGGGTCTCGGGGTTTTTTTGGTTGTACTTCGAAGTATGATTACTCCTTTCTGCTTGTTTCTCTTCGGTTTTTCTTTTGGGTGTGACTGGCAGTGGGGCAGGTCCCATATTAGTAGAAGGGTTTTTTGGCCGCAAGGCGAGTTTTTCCCCCAGCCCGGTTGAGCGGTCGTGGCTGGAAATTTAGGGAGTCGGATTTTCAGGCGCTCCCCCACTGGCCAGTCACCCACACCAGGACATTGCTCTGCTCGTGTCTTGCACTGACATATCTCTTGCTGGCCGCCTTGCTCTTTATTACTTCTGGCCTAGTTTTTGGCTAGCGTGTGGCTGCGAGTGTGGTGTGACGGAATACTGAGTTCATTCTGTGAGTACATTCTGGTAGACCACTACCCCATGTACAACCCGGTTGCTATGTGAGTGAAAAATGTATTTTTAGTCTGCTACATCATGTCCCCAAGCGCCAAGTGGTCTTGAATAAAGATATCCATTACAAATCACTTGGGGAAATATTCAAATTTTGAACTCTTCAGCTGCCATGCACTGGCAGAATCCAACCGCGTGGCAGGAAAGCACACACGGAACGCCTCGACATGCCTCTTTGCTACGCTACCAGCACTGAGACATCATAGGAATAATCCCTGCCCTCGCAGAAACTCTAAAGAAGCTGCCACGAAGTGTCACTTGCTGAACAACAGCCTAACATGACGAGAAAGAAGAACTGCTCCACAACAACAAATCAGCAAAGACTGCAACTGTAGCGCGAGATGGCCCGGATAGTTCTTGTGCACTGAGCAGCTAGTGAACATGCGTTTCACATGTGCATCGATGTCTCGTTGTACAGGTAGAAAATCACGACATAGTAGTTGTGCACTCGAGGATTTCAGGTATGCATTCCAGTTGGAAAATCAAGAATCGAAAAAAGAGTTCTCTTTGGGGTAGAGCTGCGGCCCTCCGGTACCTGAAAAATGCATGATGTAACCGCCCCGCCCCATCGAAGGGTTCAAAGTGACGGGTCCTCTCGCAGGATTTACGGTAAAGTGTACCTCTTCTTTTCATTTGCCGAAATGGTTTTTCGAAGTTTTCTGGAATCGAAGGCATCGAGTTAGTCAAAGCAAAACTGCAGTATAATGGGCGCTTTCGATTACACGCATTTCGGTCAATTCTAGAATTAGTTATTGTTGATGCACAGTTCGATTACACAAAAAGTGACAAATTCCGTCATTAGAATTGATTTTATCCAATTCCGTCAAATCCGTCAATTCTGAAGAGAGGGCGGAATTTCTCTAATTCTGGCGCCAGAATTGCACAGTCGGTGTGTTACCGGTCTGGTCATGACTCAAGCGCGCGAAGAGCCTCCCTGGCCGGCGTGTGCGCGATGCTGGGTCCACGTGCGCGCGGGGGTGTACGTGATCTCTTTTTACGATTCATCAATTTTGTTTGTGACATGACATGAATAAAATGCGTTGTGAATTCCAGTCGTTCGTTTACAAGGCCGGAATCCGCTCATTCTGGTCATTCCAGAATTAAAAAGCCCAGTTCTTTTCGACTCTCTCGTACACACCACAACAACAACAACAACAACAATAGAACTGCAGGGTCGCAGCAACAGCTGCTCCAATTCTTGCACCGCATGTGTATTAATATTACTATGCCACAGGCACACAGCATTTAAACATAATCATGGCAGCCTGGTACACATCACTTTAGCATAACAAAAGGAAAACAACGCAAGACAGTAAGCGATCCAAGCCATGGGACAATGGATACATGAACTTCCGATCGAAATGCGTTCACCACGGCCTAGTGCACTGATTAATGGGAATTGCCGCCAGCGACAATGGTGGAGATGCTGAATAACCCCAGATGGGCCAGTCTAAATAAAGCCAATGTGCTACCTTAATACAGAATTATCTGAAATTGGCCCACACACGGAAACATGCTCGCCACATACACGCACTACTGCTCACTCAGTCAATAAATCCATATTATGCACATACATATCTAGCAATGACTATCCAATTGGGTGGGCGGGTGGGATTCGCAACTGTACAGCAGCAGTGCAAGAACAAAAAGAACACTGTCTTCAGACCAGCATGCACCTTCATGTGCATGCTGCAACTCCGCACTATGCAGCCAGTGCGTACCGCACTCCCAGCACAGTCCGTGAACTCTGGACTGTGCACTCGCGTTTCGAAAAGAACAGCATTTCTTGTTTACTTCGTTGCTCTCATCCAACAAGAAATGAGGCATTTCCAGAATTGTGTAAACGTGTAATCGAAAGCGCCCAATGAAATAGGTCAACTCAGGCCTAATGCACTGAGAAGAAGTTGGCTTTGGCCTTTCTGAAATTCAAAATTCTGTCATTATTTCCGTGGAAAAAATCTTCTTGTGTTCTGCCATCATACAGGATGCCAACGTCCGCTTGATCCGTGAGCTCCGTGCTGAGATTGCCCGTCTGAAAGCTCTTTTGGTAGCAAGCCCAAATGTGAGTGTGACTATGCAGAAATCTTGTGTTTGAGTTTAGCCATAGCTTACATCTGGTGAAACTCTTCTTCCCCTTTTGAATTATATACTTGGTTATTTTATTTATTCCCGAAGCTATGCAAAAGACGTTACTTTAGTAGCGTCTGGCGCTTGCCAGGGTCCACACCGCTTTATTTCGTATGTCTGTGTGTATGTGGTACGTATGAAAGGGCCATCGTCACGTGCCGCACCATGCCTGGCGCACTTTCCCGTACATGGCCCGTACCATACCCTCACAGCATGCTGGCACATAATCAAATAGGGTTTCCAACGGCAGGATCGTAACGTAAAGCAAGTTGGTAGAATGTGTATGTATGCGAAGTGTATTAAGGGAATGCATGCAGGGCGATAGTGCGGGTTTGAATCCCATGTTTTGTGTGAAAAATAGGAAAAAGGAAAAAAAACAAACTATCACTACAGACAGAAGAACGAGCAGTTGCTGTTTCGTAATTCTGAATTTCACGAACTGAATCGATCATCAGACAAAAATCTAGCACCATGCTAAGCTAGCACCATAGCGTAGTAATACTAGAATGTACCTGTCTGGGGGTTAGAGTTTTGAGTTATGTATCTAGTATCTAACAATTCTTTTTTAACTGACAAATTTAGGAACGAGAGGGCTTGAAAGCCCAGGAGCCCTCGCTATGCTTTCATTTTACGTAGGTGATCGTGTATGTTATTCAAACTGATAGAAAGGTCTTTGCAATACGATTATCGGGCACATGTGTTCGTATTTCAAAGATGTTTCTATCAGTTCGAATAACACACAATGTGTGTCATGATGACCTAGGTAAAAACAAAGCATAGCAAGGGCTCCTGGGCTTTCAAGCCCTCTCGTTTATTTATTTATGCACCTTGTAGCATGTCAAGACAGCCAATTGAATTGAGTATAGGGTTGTTTTTTTTATTTTACTTCACCCAGGGTGAGACCAACCACGGAAAAAAGAAAAAAAGAAAATGTAAAGCAAGTGCACAAAAGGGGAAGGGATTAGCAACTTACAAAGCAATGGGATGCCCAGCGAGCTATGCTGCGGAAGTGATTACATGAACGTTAGCATGCTAACGCAAGTTAGCAGCCCGACCTGCGCGCATGTATTTCTGCGCAACGATCCGTTTCTGGCAGCAGGCTTGAAACAGCTGGCCCATGTTCTTCACCCCCTTTCCCGTCTCTGTGCTGTTCCGGCGTAGATGCGGTTCCTAGACGAACGGGAAGTTACACACGACACACTATGTGTGAAGCCCGGAGGGTCAAAGTGTCAACGATTACATTCAAACAGACCGTATCTCTCCACAATGTCACGATTGACAATGCTGCAAACATGATAAGACAATTGCTCGCCCCGGTGTATCTTGCTAAGCTCAGTGTTAAAAGTGCATTCTGCCGAATTTCCGTCCGCCCGGAGGATTGGTCCTTGTTGATCCGCTGGCAGGATCAATATTTTTATGAGAGTGTCCTGCCCTTCAGACTGTGCTACGCTCCAGTCCAGCTATATGGAACTCTGTCGCATCCGCCAGTGAATGGATTATGTGCGAGCAGTTCGCACTCCCACGCCTCTTTCATTACGGGGAATACCTCAACTAACGTTACTTCCTCAATGCATGCTCTGGACTTGTGTTAGGTTGCCAGCAACTCGCTATTCTGCTCCGAGCGTTTACATACCTCGATGTTTCTCTGGCCCCAGCAAAAGTGGAGGGTCCAGCTCAAGTCCCGACGTTATTGGCATCATCCCATTACGGGGAATACCTCGACTAACGTTTCTGTCGCCATGCAGGCTCTGAACTTGTGTTAGCTTGCCAGAAACTCGCTACTCGACGCAGCGCGTTTACATACCTTGGTGTTTCTCGGTGTTTCTCTGGCGTCAGCAAAAGTTCTTCCTCAATGCATGCTCTGGACCTGTGTTAGCTTGCCAGCAACTCGCTACTCGGCGCAGCGCGTTTACATACCTTGGTGTTTCTCGGTGTTTCTCTGGCGTCAGCAAAAGTTCTTCCTCAATGCATGCTCTGGACCTGTGTTAGCTTGCCAGCAATTCGCTACTCGGCGCAGCGCGTTTACATACCTTGGTGTTTATCGGTGTTTCTCTGGCGTCAGCAAATGTTCTTCCTCAATGCATGCTCTGGACCTGTGTTAGCTCGCCAGCAACTCGCTACTCTGCGCCGCGAGTTTACATACCTCGCATACCTCGGTGTTTCTCTGGCGTCAGAAAAAGTGGAGGGTCCAGCCCACGTCCTGACGTTTATCGGCGTCATCCTGGACACCCGCCGCGCTAACATCAGTCTGCCTACGGATGAACTTGCCAAGCTTCGTGATCTCCTACGGGCCACTCTTCACACAGCTTCAACTACCCAACGTCAACTCGAGTCTCTTCTGGGAAAGCTCTCGTTTGCTACAAGAGTGATAGCCCCAGGACGCAAATTGCAGATTGTGGTCACTTGCCAACTGGTACCGGCAGCCGTATTACCTGATCAAGCTCTCCGAAGAGTGCCTCAAAGATCTTCGCTGATGGCCTGAGCTCCTGGATCAGTAGAACGGCTGGTCCTTCTTCCTACACCCTAAGTGGACGCCATCACCCGACTTGCTGCTATTCACTGATGCAAGTGGTGCACTTGGCCGGTGAGCTTACAATTGCGACCGGGGATAGGGCGATGGTCAGTCAATCAAGCAGAGCAGCAATCGCAAAGAGTTGTTTGCAATTGTGGCAGCCCGCAGCACCTGGGAAAGCTAGCTGCATCAGCTACAAATGCCAATCGATCGGCATTTACGGCAACTGCGAGGATATTGCTCATCAGTTGTGGCTTTGGCCTGGCGTTGTACACCGGCCATTCGTTTTTAATCAGCTGCCGGACTCGATATTCAGAGAGGCGTCATTGGCGGCTCCAAGCGGAGTCATTGGCGGCTCCATGCGGAGTCATTGGCGGCTCCATGTGGAGTCATTTGGCGGCTCCATGCGGAGTCGTTCGGCGGTTCCATGCGGGGTCGTTCGGCGGCTCCATGCGGGGTCATTCGGCGGCTCCATGCAGAGTCATTTGCCGGCTCCAAGCGGAGTCATTTGCCGGCTCAGCTGCGAGCCATCTAGCGGCTCCAAGCAGACCCATCATATCAGTTGCTCGAATCGGCACTCCCAGCTCATATCAGTTGCTCGAATCGGCACTCCCAGCTTAATCCGAAACTCGGTTGCTCTGTTGTGAGGTGGGGGGATGCTAATGTAATTTTTTACTGGAAGATACTGAAGTGCTGCCTGACGAGGGTACGGAATTTGAGCATACCGGGAGCTTGTCTAACACTGGGAGGTAGTTGGAGCCATGTGGAGTAGAGGAAAAGAAAGAGGAAATTACGAATAGGTTAGACCTACCTAGGGGGAGACGTACGCAGCTTCGGGTGGTACCACCTGACTTAAACCAATCAAGCGACTTTAAATGAGCATGGTGCTGGTCAAGAAAAAATAGAATGTGCACTTAGAACTTACCATACTTTCCTTGACAAGGTGATGGAGGTGCTCCACCATGCCATTCGAATGTGGGTAACATGGGCTGGAGCGGATGTGATGGGATGCCAAGGTGGCGAAAGAAATTCTACGGCAGGACATGTGCTTGATAAACATGCCCCCTTGTGGCGTATGATGCCGACTGCTTGCCACAAGCTAGTTATTGCAATTCACAATACAAACAGAGCCCTGCGTAATGGACGAAGTGGAGTCCTACACGGTGATTACATGTCAAAATCAGAATCCTTATTGGGTCGTCAGGCGAAATTACTGGTCAGTCGGCGACACGCATTTTTCACAAAAATGTGCGTGTTACCTGCTGGGAGAGTATGCATGTACTCGAGCCTCATCCTGAGCACGTTTTTTTCTTCTTTTTTTTCAGCTCCAGTATAGCCGTATTTTTCATTGCAAAGCCGTCCTCGATTGTTGTGTTCATTGTTCAAACGAAGTGGACATTCAATCATGAAGGCAGAGGACATAGGAGCCTGATTGGAGTTTCTCGTGGCATAGGACGGCCACACAGAGACACTTTGGGATTTTCTGAATATAAAATACCGTACGCACGATGCTGAGATCAATTTGTGCGATATCAAATTGTTTGTGATCTAACACATCGAGCAGAACGGGATCCAAACACAAGCTTACCGACGGTTAGGCTGCCGACCTGACTGGACAAATGATCCCTGGCTTCACCAGACGCCAGAAGTCGGACACCATGTCCTTTGCCGCGACGTCCATCTCCAAAAAGAACTCCATCTTCGTCGTGAAAAGGCTTGAAATACTCAATATTCAACCGAGATTCGCGGTCTCACCCTTTCTCAGATCGAATCATTTTTTTGTTGTAGCAGTTGCAGGGCAGATCCCCTCCACTACTTCAACAGAAGATGGCTCCAAAGCATGCCTGGAACAAGCCATATCGAGGTTGCAAGCCACCCCTCTCAGCACTTTTTTTGAAGAAATTCGAAATTTCAATGGTGGAAGATATACTATGAAGAGAATTTCTAAAAGTATGTTTCGCGGAGCAATCGCTCAACCTACATCATTCAAACTTTGCAGGATGGTTCAGACGTACATGCTAGGCATGGAACCACAGAAGATGATATCATAGCTGACACACAGAGTCACAGACACAGCAGATTCGTGTGCACAGATACTAAATTAGTGGACGTCGTCATCTTCTTCCCGCTGATCTTTAAATGTACTATGACGTGCTATTTCGCCTGACGATAAGGAAATCTGTATGGCTCCAACGGATTCCTTTCAGGGACCAGGCTTCACTCACTCGCCGGGCACATGGCTAGCAGCTGAAAAATACGCCATAAAATGAATGTCGGATGGGCCACACGGATGGCCATAGCTATCAAAAGCGGGAACAAACCCAACCAAGGATTCTTTCTCTTGCTGGTTGTGCTGCAGTGTTCATCAAGCTGTTCTGAAATTTCTCCCTCCTGCCCATGCCTCCTGAAATGTATTGTCGCTC